ATATCTAACTATATCTATTTATGCGTTATAAGGATGTGAAATTAATTGAAGTTCTAAGATATAGGGTTTTATAATAATTTGTGATTAAGAATTGTATTACTAAAGGAAAACTGATCTTCTCTCTGCCTTTATAAAAGTGCGTATGCTCCATCAATTATGTACGATTATTGAGACAATACAGAAAAGGTTATTGTATGCAAAAGGCAAAAGAGAGAAACCAGTTTTCCCTTTTGCCTGAAACCAGTTTCCGCCTTTGCCTGTTGATCAAAGTTGTAGATTGGTTCGTGCTTAGAGGATCTGGACATTGGATTTAATCTCAACAAGGTTTGATATCATGAATAAAGGTTTGTATATCTAACTATATTTATTTATGCGTTATAAGGATGTGAAATTAATTGAAGTTCTAAGATCTAGGGTTTTATAATAATTTGTGATTAAAGTCTAACATAAATTTAATTAGAGTTTACATGTGGTATCAGAGCCCGCAGGTTTTGGAACTCATTATTTTTCCATTATCCTTGCATAAATAATATATTTAAGTTTAAATTAAAATTACATAATTATATAATCTTAATTTATTATATATTGGGACACTGTTTTAAGAGAGATCTGCCTGATAAATCAATTTTCTAATTCCTGTACCCCGTTTTGATTGAGTGTCAAGGATCTGTTTGTAAGTGATTAGTTTGGTCTCTTTATTGTTATATATATATATATATATATATATATATATATATATATATATATTTAATGTGATATATTAGTTTTGTCTCTTTTTTATTGATTCATAAAGTAGTCAAATCTCGTAATCAGCATGTGGTATCATAATGAGACAAAATAAGCCAATTGTAATTTTCGTACATTGATACACAATGGAAAATTGTATGTTTAACTTGCTTAATGATTAGTATACAGTATAGTGGTTATATATATAAACAGAATGAGACAAAACAAGCTAAAAGACATGTTAATTTTTTGGTGCGTCAATACACAGTAACGAGACAAGCAAAAAAAAAAAAAAAATTGTTATTTGGTGCATCAGTATATTGAAATAAATTTTTGATTATGATTCTGCAAATAGGTAATGATGCCTTTTTTGTTTTGTACTTAATTGAATATATGCTTATTAATATATACTACAGTATATGTATTTGTGAAATTTTAGGACACCCACTAACACTTTAATTAATTGACTTTGTAAATTATGTGTGCATAATATGGTGGGTAATTTAATGTTGAATTTATCACTAGATAATTTAATATTCATATTATAGAAAGGTTGGTAGCTACCAAAGTGGCCTAACCATAATGATTAATGGATATTAATTTTAGTGGTAGACATAATTGCAATATTTCATGAATAATGATACTTATAATTTTTTGTAAAATTCATGAATATTGGGTTTATTCAATTGTTAGAAATAATTCCTCAAAGGGAATTAATTTTCAAGTGATTAAGTAAATATTAAGGGGTTGTATGTAATTCCTAATTGGGTAGATATAGGATGTCCAAGGTAACTTATCTATTTAATTAATTAGTGCATCACCAATGAAGCTATATATAAATAAATACATCTAAGCATCATTTTTTGTATTTTGTGGTTACTACCCAAAGGGGTACTATAGTTGTATAATGTATTTATTTATTTATTTTTATATGTGTTGTTATCTCAAAGTATTAATGTTATGAGCATTTACCTTATTATGATTATTTTATTGCAGTATCTCTTCCTGTTTCAGTGAATTCGCATGCTTCATCTGTTCCAATTCTCAATGGGACTAACTTCTCAGAATGGAATGAGTAAGTTCAGTTCAACTTAGGAGTGCTAGATCTTGATTCAGCATTTCAAATTGAGAAACCTATTGCTATTACTGGTGAAAGCAGTGAGGAAGAAAAGACTCTCCATAAAGTTTGGGAGAAATCGAACAGATTAAGTATTATGTTTATGCGAATGACTATTACAAACAATATAAAAACAACTCTTCCCCAAACTAATAGTGCTAAGGAATATTTGAAAAATAATGAAGAACGTTTCCGTACTGCAGATAAGTCTCTTGCAGGGAAATTAATGGCTGACCTCACTACTATGCATTTTGATGGTACTCGTAGGATGCATGAGCATGTTCTTGACATGACTAATCTTGTTGCGAAATTGAAAACTTTAGGAATGAATGTGGATGAGACTTTTCTTGTTCAATTTATTCTTAATTCCTTACTTACTCAGTATGGGCCATTTCAAATTCACTATAACACTATTAAGGACAAGTGAAATGTGAATGAATTGGCCAGTATGTTAGTTCTGGAGGAAGGAAGGCTTAAGCAACAAGATAATCATAATGTTCATCTCATGACTCAAGAAGCTAGAAAGAAATTTGGGAAAGGTCTGGAAAAGGCATTAAGCGAGCAACACCCCAAATAAAGGATTCTGATCAAGCTACTCAAAAGAAGGAACGCAAGAATGATAAGTGTCATTTTTGTAACAAATCTGGACACTTTCAGAAAGATTGCATGAAACGTAAAGAATGGTTCGAAAAGAAGGGTAAGCCTTTGGCTTTTGTATGTTTTGAATCAAATTTAATTGAAGTTCCTTCTAATACTTGGTGGGTTGATTCAGGCTCTAATGTTCATATTTCCAATACGATGCAGGGATTCCTTTCAACCCAAACCAAAATCCAAATAATGATTTCTTGTTCACAGGGAATAGGGAGAAAATTCCAGTTGAAGCCATTGGGACATTTCGTTTAGTTTTAGATAGTGGATTTCATTTAAATTTGTTTAAAACTCTTTATGTTCCTTCAATTTCCCGTAATTTGATTTCTTTGTCTAAACTTGATGTTGATGGTTTTTCATTTAAATTTGGTAATAGATGTTTCAGTTTGTTCAAAAAATCCCAATTGGTTGGTTCTGGTATTCTTGTTGATGGTTTATACAAGATAAAGCTTGATAATGTATTTTCTGAAACACTTTTGACCTTGCATCATAATGTTGGAACCAAACGTAGCTCAATTAATGAAAATCCATCTTTCTTGTGGCATAAAAGATTGGGTCATATATCCAGTGAAAGGTTAAAAAGATTAGTAAACGATGGAATTCTTTGGAATGTAGATTTTACTGATTTCATTGTATGTGTGGATTGTATTAAAGGTAAACAAACCAAACACACAAAGAAAGGAGCTACAAGGAGTACAGAGCTTCTTGAATTACTTAACATACTCCTAACCATTTCCATAAGAGTACGCCTTTCAGCTACACCATTCTGCTGTGGCATACCTGGCATAGTGTATTGAGCACAAATGCCATGCTTTTTAGGGAATTTAGCAAACGGTTTAGGGCATTAACCCGTTTCATCATACTTTCCATAATATTCACCACCTCTATCTGATCTTACTATTTTCACTTTTTTATCTAGTTATCTTTCAACCTCATTTATGTATACTTCAAGAGTATTCACTGCTCGAGATTTTTCATGCAACAAATAGATATATCCATAACGTGAAAAATCATCTATAAAGTTACCCATATCATTGTGGATGTATGCTCTTAGAACTGCTATATATATATTAAACAGGGTTCCTAGTAAGGCAGTTTCAAAAACTCCATTTAAATTGTGGACAGGAAGGAAACCTAGTTTAAGGTACTTGCATGTTTGGGGTTGCCTAGCGGAAGCTAGGATTTATAATCCACATGAAAAGAAATTGGATTTTAGAACAGTTAGTGGGCACTTTATTGGTTACCCAGAAAAATCCAAAGGGTATAGGTTTTACTGTCCTACACATAGTACAAAAATTGTTGAAACCGGTAATGCCAGATTCATTGAGGATGGTGAAATCAGTAGGAGTGATAGAAATGAGAATGTGATCATTCAAGAAGTTAGGGTACAAATCCCTTCACCCACAACTTTTAAAGAAATAATTGTTTCTCCAGTTGTTGAACTGCATAACAACGAAGAACAATTAAATGATCAACAACTCCATAATGAAACTATCACTAATAAAGTTATAGGAGAACCACAAGGAATAACATTAAGACGGTCTCAAAGAGAAAAGAGACCTGCTATTTCGGATGATTATGTGGTATATCTACATGAATCTGATTTTGATATAGGGATATGTAAGGATCCGGTTACATATTCACAAGCCATTAATAGTAATAATTCTACTAATTGGATTAATGCCATGAATGAGGAGTTAAAGTCAATGGAACACAATAAAGTTTGGGAACTCGTTGAATTGCCTGAAGGATTTAAGCAAGTCGGGTGTAAATGGGTCTTTAAGACCAAACGCGACTCTAATGGCAATATTGAACGATATAAAGCCAGACTTGTAGCCAAGGGCTTCACTCAGATAGGAGGCATTGATTATAAAGAAACCTTCTCTCCTGTATCTAAGAAGGATTCCTTTAGAATTATCATGGCGTTTGTAGCTTATTATGATTTAGAGTTGCATCAAATGGATGTGAAAACAGCTTTCCTAAATAGGAATTTAGAGGAAGAAGTCTATATGGATCAACCTGAAGGCTTCAGATTAGAGGGTAAAGAACGCATGGTCTATAAACTTAAGAAGTCAATATATGGACTTAAACAAGCTTCCCGACAATGGTATATTAAGTTTAATGATACTATTACTTCTTTTGGTTTTAATGACAATACTGTTGATCGGTGTATATACCAGAAGATTAGTGGGAGTAAGTTTATATTTCTGATTCTATATGTTGATGATATTTTGCTTGCTAGTAGTGATCTTGGTTTATTGCATGAAACTAAAAATTATCTCTCTAAGAATTTTGAGATGAAAGATATAGGTGAGGCATCCTACGTGATAGGAATAGAAATATTCCGTGATAGGTCACGTGGATTGTTAGGATTGTCTCAAAAAACATATATTGAGAGAATTCTAGAGAGATTTGGTATAGAACATTGTTAAGCTAGTATTGTTCCAATATAGAAAGGGGATAAATTTAGTTTGATGCAATGCCAAAGAATGAATTAGAACGTAAAGAAATGCAAAATATTCCTTATGCATCTACTGTGGGAAGTTTGATATATGCACATGTTTGCACTCATCCAGATATTGATTTTGCAGTTGGAATGCTAGGTAGATACCAAAGCAATCCAGGAATGCATCACTGGAAAGCTGCAAAGAAAGTTACGAGATACTTACAAGGAACAAAGAATTATATGCTCACATTTAGAAAGACTGGTGAGTTAGAGGTTATTGGTTACTTAGACTCAGATTTTGCTGGATGTGTGGATAGTAGAAGATCCACTTTTGGTTATTTGTTCCTTTTAGCTGGAGGGGCAATATCATGGAAAAGCGCAATTATTGCTTCATCAACTATGGAGGCTGAATTTGTAGCATGCTTTGAGGCTACAAATCATGGTTTGTGGTTGCGGAACTTTATTTCGGGATTTGGTGTTATGGATTCAATTTCTAGACCGCTGAAAATTTATTGTGATAACACCGCAACTGTCTTATTTACTAAAAACGATAAGTATTTCAATAGCGTTAAGCATATGGAGCTGAAATATCTTACCGTTAAAGAAGAAGTTCAGAATCAACGAGTGTCTTTTGAAAATATAAGCACACAGCTTATGGTTGCAGATCCATTGACAAAAGGATTACCACCCAAGACATTCATAGGGCATGTTGAAAGAATGGGTCTTGAATGTAATCAAAGTTAATTATTATTTTTGTTGTGGATTGCTTAACAATGCTTATATATATTTGACATTTTGAGCTTATTAAAATGTGTTTCTGTTATTTCCTGTTAATTTATGTATGTACATGCATGTATTACTTTAAATGATGAAAACAGGAATAGTCTTAGAAAAGACATTATTGCTAGACCTTTATTGATGCTTCTTACTTATAGATTATGTTAAATGGGTTACTAGTGTTGTGGTACATGGAAGGGACTGTGTCATTTAGTGACATACAACCGCCATGACTCACATTGGTAGTTTGTTTACCATGGTATTTATGATGACCATATTAATATCTTAATTTGATTTATGGTGCACACTAATGACTATTTTACTGAACCACTACAGAAGTTATCATATGTGCCAAGTGGGAGAATGTAAGATTATTTATTTAATTGTGGCCCACATGATTTGGACATGTGACATATTACTTGGTGGTTAAGTAAATAGATATCAATTAATTATTCTTGGTCAATTATTTTTTTGGTAATTACTTATAGAGAAGTGTTTTCCTTCTAATTCCTTACTTTGATAGAAAGTAGAATTGTATTACTAAAAGGAAAACTGATCCTTTCTCTGCCTTTATAAAAGTGCATATGCTCCATCAATTATATACGATTATTGAGACAACACAGAAAAGGTTATTGTGTGCAAAAGGCAAGAGAGAGAAACCAGTTTTCCCCTTTGCCTGAAACTAGTTTCCGCCTTTGCCTGTTGATCAAAGTTGCAGATTGGTTCGTGCTTAAAGGATCTGGACATTATATTTAATCTCAACAAGGTTTGATATCATGAATAGAGGTATGTATCTCTAACTATATTTATTTATGCGTTATAAGGATGCGAAATTAATTGAAGTTCTAAGATCTAGGGTTTTATGATTAAAATCTAACACAAATTTAATTAGAGTTTACACACTCAAGTCGACGCCGACCACAACACAGGCCGAACCAAGGGTACCTGATATTTATGAACTCAGTACCATAGATCCGGGTGAATCACATGGAATCTGGCACGCCCGCACAACAACCACCCCAAGGTTGTTGAACGCTGAAATACCGCAAACACCCACATTGGAGTCGGGGCGGGTTCGGGTCGCCCTAATATACGTAGTTTTTTAATAAAATTAGTTCAAACTTGAACAAATATAAAATAATTTTTAATTTTTTTTTTTTACTATAGTAAAAAATTATAACAATCATAATACAAAAATGTTGTTAAAATTGAAAATTGTCATAAGAAATAGTGAAAAAAAGAGAAAGTAAAGCTAATGAAAGAATATTTTTTTTTATATATATTAACATATTTTCAGGCTAGGGAAGGACAAATTCATCATAATGTCAAAAATGTATAATGTTCCTAGTGGCTAGTCCCGAGGGGTACATGGTTATGTTAGGCCATATTTTGACCACTGCATATAATGCTTTCTTTAATGCATTCAATTTCCACTGGTCACACTTTAAATGCATCCAAAGAAGAGTATTAATCGACTTCCTCGCTACTCTTCTCATAGAGAGAATCACAACTTCTAAGAGCCAAATTGGGATTTCTTTCAATATTTTAAAAATTGCATTTAGTTGTGTTTGGTTACTATTAAAGCACTTTTAATGATTATTAAAAAAATTCGTAAAACTTTTAAATGAAGTTAAAATTTAGAATTTTTAAAATTATGTTACGAGTAGAAGTTGTATATATTAGGTAATTGTTTTTTCTTAGACATATTTTACCTTTTTTATTTTTTATAAAGGCAATTTCACCCATTATTCTATTAACTTGGTATTATCAAATATAGTAACATTCTAGTAAAGGATGATTTTGTAAAATTGGCACTAAAAGTATTTTAAAAAATATTGTTACCAACAAATTTTAAAAAGACTTTAATTGTAAAAAATACTTTATATAATGTGTTACCTAAATCCTAATATGTTTTTTTACAAATATCAATTTTTTGACTGTTCTATTGACAAAAATATTTTTTCATAGTAATATACCAAACTGACTCTAAGGCTCTATTATATTATTACTCTTAGAACACGTTTGTGATTGTTTTTCAATATCTTAAAAGTGCTTTTATTTTAAAATTGTGTTTAGACGTGTTTTCTTTTAAAAGTGCATTGAGGGTAGAAGTTCTATACTATAGGTTTTTTTATTTTATTTTATTTTATTGGAAGTTAAAGCAATTCACTCACGCACCCGGCCTCCAAGGAGGCTAGAACCCCTAACCTCCCTTTGGGAAGTAAGAGTTTGGTACTGTTGAGGTTCTATATTTAAGATAATTGTTTTTTCTTAGACAAATTTATCCTTTTTATTTTCTATAAATATACTTTTTTTTTTCCTTTTATAAAGTTGCTATTATCAAATAGAATAAATAACATTATTGTAAAATTAGTAAAAGAAGTGCTTAAAAAATATTATTACCAAACATATTAAAAAGTATTTTAATTATGAAAAGTACTTTATATATAATGTATAATCAAACACCTAACATGTTTTTTTCCAAACGTAAATTTTTTGACAGTTCTAAATGATAAGTGCTTAAATGTTACACATTTCAGCACCTAAATTAGGGTATTTTAGTCATTGCATCTACTTTATTTTCATGTTTTAGTTCTAATTTATGTTTTTGTCAATTTCAGGTCAATAAGGTTCAAACGGACCAATTTTGGTTCACTAAAGTCTTTTTGGAGTCAAGTAAAGACATTTAGAAAAAGTTCAGAAAATGGTAAAAAGAGGTCGCAGCCCATTGCTCGTATAGTGTGTTTATTCTTCAAAAGCAGTCAATCTCGGACCTTTGATGATGTTCCCAAAGATGAAGAAGCAAACCAATTAGCCCAGGTCAAAATGGAGCTAAATAAGGCTTAAAGGAAATTTCCAACTCTGGGGGATCGATCCCCTACTATTCACAGAACTAAAAATGCCCTTGGGGGATCGATCCCCAAGGCTATGGGATCCATCCCCCAGTACCTGGCAGCATGACGAGATTTTCTTATTTTGGGCTTATTTTTGTAACTTATGGGCTTTAATAGGATTTGTTACTTAAGGCTTAGTGAGCCATTAGTTTAGGGTTAGTTTTTATTTTATTTAAGAATTTTTTAATTTATGAATGAAAGGAGGATTTTAGGTTTTATTTTTTAGCGGTATCGTATTATTATATTCTCTCTGGAAAACGGGAAAGAGGAAAACGAAGAACAGGCCAGGGTTAGAAAGAAAAGCTCAGAGATGATGAATCCAATGATGGAGATTGTTTTGTCTTCAACTCCATCAACTATGAGTGGCTGATTCTTCAACTTAGCCTTGAGATATATATTAATTCTTTCATTTGATTGTCTATATCAATTTCATATTGTCTTATATGTTTTTGATTGATAATTAATTTTTACACTTGATTTCTTTGTGAATTGAATCATGTGATGGCTATGCATTGTATTAATTTGATGTTATTGTGTTCTAATTTGATGGAATTTGCTTCTACTAGATGGATTGCACTACACAGTTAGTTTAATTATGTTAAATTCTTGTTGAATTTGGTTAATTTCAGGCTTAATTAGTTTAATTGAACTTTCGTTCTTAGGTAAGTAGACAATCCATGTTTGTGTTTGATTTCCATGCTTGTTGCCACAATTTACATTATCCTCTAGATTAATGTGAGTTGAAATTGTTAATTGAATTGATCGACCATACTTTGAATTGGTGAATTGATTTACACTTAGTTAATTGTCATTAGATAAATGATTCAAGCTTTAAATTGATGTTTCATACTTTTCATTGTAATTGTTAGTCACATTTAGATTATACATTTATTTCCCCAATTAGTTGAAAGTTAGTGAGTTAGGGAATGTGCTTAGTGGTGAATCCTACACTCTAAGTCTCTTTCCAATCTTTCAAACTCCATAATTTTATTGCAATTATTTAACTTAAAATTAGTCTAATCACAAAGCCAAACTTTTTTAGCAATCACATAAGCACTAAAGTAGAATTCAATTCTGAAAAACCTATAATTGTTTAGATCTCTTGGGACGATCCCTGCTCACTTCATACTCCATAGTATAAGTGTTTAGTGGTTTTATAAATTTTAAAATATGGTGCCCACTTGACATTATTTCTAAACCTAAAGTGTTGTGCATTATTTTGTGCACACGCTCGGTCGCACCACTAAAGAAGAAAACGCTTTATTTAATTAATTATTTATTTATTATTCTAACAAAATGCCAAACAGGTCCTTAACATAATTCTAAACCTATATTGTGTCAATTAATATGTAACTTGATTGAAAGGCTGATCTTATTCATGCTTCAATGTCATGGCTGTATGTAAATTCTACAGAATCTTATGGAAGTATAACTTGAATCGAAATTATTTCTCGTTAAAGACTCATTGCATTATTAATGAAATGATACTTGTTCAAGCTCCATCTTCTTTTTTACTTTTTCAATTTTAAATAGAAACTCCATCTTCTAAATAGCAACACATGCAACCTTTTCTTATTTGGATTTGAATTTAAAGTATGTAATTATGATATTCAGGTCTTTGACTTATTTGTCAAAATGAGAATTTAAATCATTCTCCTAATGTAAATTCAATAAAATGCATTTCCATCAAATTCGATCCAATTTATGCTAGTTCATGCATTAAAAAAAAAAAAAAAGAAAAAAGAAAAAGAGAAGAAAAAAACTAAAACTTTAGGCCCTACCATCATTTCAAAAAGATAAAAGAAGGTGTAATTATAAAATTCGGATTACAAAATTCTGGTCTTCGTTGATTACAAGTCATTACTTGCTTAAGTGGTTAAATTGATTTTGAAATACTCACTAACTCACAAAATAAGTGTCACTTTTGAGAATTTACCTTTTTAAGAGAATGACTATTTTCATTTTATCATTGTATTAATTGTGAATGAATTATTAAATTACCAACAAGTCTGTTGCCTAGCGGTACTAGACCTCTTCTTTCTAAAGGGAGGTTAGGAGTTTGAATCTCGGTGGAGGCTTGTGTGTGTGAGTACCAATTAAGAAAAAAAAAAAAAAAATTATTAAATTTATCTATAGTGGGGATGTGATAATTTTTACTTTTTTTTATAGGTTCAATATAAAAAAATTAAATTTGTAATATTACAAAAAAAATATTTACTTTTCAAATAGGATATTCATTTTGGGATGGATAAAAAATAAAATAATGACACTTTTTTTTGGAATTGAAGGAGTATACTGATAAGTACACAAAACCTATTAT